GAGAGGGTGATTCTGTCGGATAGCTCTGCATGCAACCATACTGCGAACTGCAATGAGGCGATGAGAGGCTGCAGGCAGCGTCAAGAGAAAAGGCATAGCCGAAATGTCAATTTCAGCAGTAACTGAACCTGTCATCTTCTCAGTGCCATTATCTTTGTAGCCGATGTTAAGAAAAACTCAATGCATTTTTACAGTAATCTCCTGTAACATTCATTTCCTTGATATATTGTTTTCAGCGGTTACGCAACGTGTTCGCATCAAATCTCCGAAGAGATCATCGGGATAAATCGGCTCCACATCCGCGCTACACATCCTCAGCGCCAGGCTACCTTCTGTTACCTCAAGCACCACTTGCGGAACCGGAGACGTATGCATAGCAATAATGTGTGCACCTTATGTGACCATAGAGGCGATACTCATTTTTAGTCAGGTAATTTGTTTTCCTTTTCAAATTTACTCATTCTATCCCTGGGCTTTACTTTCCAAGAGGGGGGATTTTTGCTATAACGATGAGAAGCTCCACATCACGATTTCTTTGAGAAAAAAGGTTAGAAATTATTCGAAGCGTCACCCCTGTGTATGGGATCTGCAGCCACATACGGTGGGGTCAAACTTGAGAGTTCCTTTTCCATAGGTCTTTGAAGGCAAGTGGTACAATGCATTCCCAAGACGTGTAGGATTAATAAACCCTGACAGCACAGAACTCTGCCTCCCTTACTGGACCTTGCGTGTTGCCTTCTTCAAGGGAGGCACCCTTATAGCGTCCTATGAAGCTGCAACGACCCGGACGCCCACAGCGCCCACCTGCTCACAAATGTCCGACCGATGCTGGTGCTCGTATCGCTTCATTTGCGAAGTACAGTATGAAGCGAAGGGATTGATATGAAGCGGCTGCGGTGCTGCATGGATATATGAGTACATACATGCAGCCGTATCTACCTGCGTAGATGTTGTTGGCAAGATGCCTACGGAAAACTCGTCCAAAATTGCTTCCGGGTCGTGTGGAATAGAGGCATTTTTTTGCAAGTTTTGAGCCGTTTCACTTCGCTTTTCCGCCATTCTCTCATAGCATAGCACCCCTGCTACCATTTTAGACTGAGTGCCACATTATTGTGCCTTATGCCTTTAATTGGCGTCTTTCTTACCAAAAAATGATGTCAACCTCGCTGGATTTCCAAAAAGAGACCTAACTATATCGGTGGAGTATAGAAAGCCAACTGCACATATGGAAATCAAAATCCAATCTGAATGCTCAAACGAAATATAGGCGGTCAAAGTAGCTGAACTTGTTGAAAGCTTGTCCACCGTACACCTTCAGCGTGGGAATCAGATGTTTTGGCCCTGAACGGGTGCGACG